CGCTCAGGCTGAGACACAGCTGTGCTGGGAGCCTGAGTTGGACAGTGATGAAGAACAGTTGGGACAAATCCCGGATGCATGAATATGCAGGAAAGAGAAGTGAGTAGGACAGAGGAATGCAATGGGGTGGCTCCAAAGGCAAAGGAGAAGGTATTAGGAAGCCACGCCTTGGGCTGCATAATAAAAGGGAAGGTGTGGGAGATGCTGGTAGCCGAAGGCAGCCATTCGTGTTGAGGATCAAGTTTCTGTAAACTGTGTTTGTTTGCCTTGGACATTGACTCAGGTCTGTGAATAATAAAAGGGGTTGGTTTTTTCCTGCGGTTTCTGCCTGCTTGTTGGAAGAGGTGTTTCTCCTTGTGAGCATAACAAAGACTCTCATAGGCTGGGACAGAACATCCTGATGATCTCCTAGATCAACTTCTTTTATATCTCCCTTTTTATGACCCTGTAGTTCCTTAATTTGGAGTAGAGTTGGGGCAACTGGATGGAACTGAGAATTTACTGGCTGGGTGCCCTTCCTGACACCTATACAGAGTTCACAGCAGGTATTTTTTTTCTTTGCGGCCTAGGAGAGAAACATCTGTCACTGCCTAAGAGTGAACTCTCAATCTTCCAAGTGGGAGGCAAGTGTCTTCACCACTAGGCCACCATGCCACTCTTAATGGATCAGTTCATTAGCACTGCTCTTATTCTCCTAGATTTTTCCCCCTCCTCTTTCCCCCTCCTTAAACTTACTGATTCCTTCTCTTTTTGAATAAATGAAGCAAGGCTGTGGAAGTCTCAGCACTTGGATAACTCATTCTGAGTTGGGAGCAGAATGTACAAATGATACTATTTGCTTTGGTCCTTACAGGGTGACCCTTTTATAATGCCCCAAGACATACTTTGATCACCCCATCATTTCTAAAAAGAGGGCTACACCGATAAACGTTATGTTTACTTTTTTTAAAAAAAAACAGATGCTAATCCCACACTTACTTATCAGGTGCTCAAATATCCACCGAATTACACAACTGCAAAACTTAAGCCATCTTTAAAAGTTTATCATCCTATTATGTTTCCCTTCTCCCATAAACAAACTGCTGTGTTAAACTATTTGTCTTTTTACCGTACTCTTTATTGTAGAGGCCAGTCAAAGATCCAGATAAAGTGATTTGATTTGATTTGCCCTTTGCTTTGTAATTGAGGACCATGTCCTTTAGCTGATCAGGATGGCATCACAATAGCTTGGGACAGTGAAGAGTTCAAAGGAACAGAGGTTTTTCCAGCTCCTGTTTCTTTTCTTTCTTTGTCCCCTCCCCCATGGCAAACTGTTTTGCATTCAGCCAGATTAAATATTCAACACCAAGATTGTCCTGGATGGAGGGACAATTCCCATTCAATCTTGGTCAGCTCTGCACATCTTACAGAGTTTTGTCTCTGGCACAGATGTCGATTATTAGCTCGATAAACAAGCCCCCGATAAACTTAAGTTGCCGCTGGGAAGAGAGGTACACCATGATCTGATGGAAAACACAGTAGGAGTTTTATCATTTGTCCAGCTGCACTACATAGATACACAATGCTGGAATTCTCTCAGATAGCATCCTCTGTCACCCCAGGAAAACTAGAAGCGAAACAACAAGAAGGGTTCAGTTTGAGGTTTTGGCTATTTTCTATTCACGCTGCGCTATAACCTCCTACTCCGCAGTTAATTACTTTGTACTCCGTGAGATATAAAAGAAATGTCACCCAACTTAAAATATGAGAATGCTGTGAGAAAACATCCACTGCATGCTTGATCTGGCAATTCTGTACACTTTTCACCACAAAGACAAACGAGGGCTGATTACAAAACACTGCCGCACTGGCACCCATAATATAGATTTCTCTGTTTGCGGAAGTACTTTCGTCATCTGCTCCTATCCGCGAGATTCTGAAGCTTACTTATGCTGAAGCAATGTTTGAAGATGAAGTCGAAAGCACTGCGCATAACAGATTGGAAGAGTTGTGCCGTGTGTCATATTTACGGGAGCCAGGTTTGGGGTCGGGCTCAGTGGTGGGATTCAAATATGTGAACAACCAGTTCTCTGGGTGGATGCCGCTTCCAGAAATCCGTTCTGGGCCTGGGCAACAAAAAATTAGCTACCGGTTCTGCTGATCTGGTGTGAACTGGCTGAATCCCACCACTTGTTGGGCTGGAAAATGGCACTGGGCATCAGGCTAGAAATAGGGAGAGTGGGCTAGTCCTGTCTGGGGCATGATGTCAGCTGAGTGGACTTGTTCTCTCTCAGCCCTGGGAAGGGAGCAATGGCAATTATATCTGAAAAACCGTGCCCAGAAAACTAGTCCAAACAGTTGTTTTCAGGAGTCAAAATCTGACTTGAAAGCTCAATAAATACCTCATACATAGGTAACAAGGGTGTGCGATGGCTGAGTGGTGAAAAGACACTGAGCTTGTCAGCCAGAAAGCTGGCAACCCACGTTCGAGAGCTAAGCACCGTGCGATGGGGTGAGTTCC